CACAACCAAACAAAAATGCGGCACATTTGCAAGAATTCTGCAGCATAAATATAAAACGGAAAATGGTGGAGGAGACTACGCAGGACTGGTGGAATGAGGAACTACGAAGCGTCACGCAGACCACTAGAAAGAGCAGACGAGAATGGCAAAGAGGGCACCCACTTGGAAGACAATAAAAAAAAGACTGTATTAAACTACTAGATTGTTCATTTCAAAAGAAAAGAAACATTACATTTACAGAAACAACTTATGATGATGAGAATTATATTTCAACTGTCGAAGAATACCTTAACCTCATAGAAGAAAATAGGACAAATGAAAATAGCATCACTGACAAAAGCAGGCGGAGCCATCTGTTAACCATTCTGCGTAAAAACTTAAATACATTCTGTAATACCTACTAGACAATTTCTACTGGATTTACCATTGTTATTCAACACCTCCTCTCAATGGTAAATCACCTATTCCTAACATATTTCTGAACTTACAAAACAATTTAAGGCCAAGTGGTTTTGTCATAACATCAGCTAACTGCATATTACTTGGTAGGTAAATACCCAATATTGACAATACCAGCATTCACCCTTTCTCTTATGAAAGATATTTCAAATCAGCATGTTTTAAACGCTTGTGAAATTCGGGATTTTTGCTCAACCTAATTGCTCCCTGAATACCTTCAAATAATGTGACACATACAAAATTTTCCAAAAACTTCATTCATCATATTCCTCAATCAACATGTTTCACTGACAGCTAGGGCTAATGACTGCCTCGGTTGAAGAGAGCGCAACACTACACTGTGTTCGAGAACACCAAGATATTGTACAGTCAAACACTTTGAAAACATACCCCGATGTAGATTTTCTGTCCACTTTATCTCCAGCCCAGTCAGCGTCAGCATATCCCACAATAATAGCACTTTTATCAATAACAGCTTGTCTCTTATACACTAAACTATAATCTAAAGTACCCTGGATAACGCAATACTCTCTTAAGTGCCTGGAACAATTGTAAAGAAGCACAAAATTGATATCTGCTTAAAACATTTATGCAAATACATAAATCCGGTATTTTACAGAGCATTGCGTACATCAGTACATCAAGGACCCAATGAACATCCTACATTTACGTTCTATTTCAGGACTCTCAGAGTTACTTGTTTTCAAAATATCATGACTAAAATTGAGATCCAATGGTGTTTAAGAAGGTTTACAATTTTGCATATCAAACTTTTGAAGAATCTCTCTTAAATACTTTGTTTGATTAAGCACAAGTTTACCCTCTGGAACATCATGGCTGAAAACTATACCTAAAAAACTACTGAGCCCACCTTAATCTTTCATTTCGAAACCTTCCTTTAGTTGACACTTCACCCCCCTTTCAATTTCTCCCGAATCTGTACCCGATAGTAAAAGATCATCCACATAAATTAACAAAAAAATCTTAGAATTTTCTGTGATTTTTGTATACATATAAGCAATATTTGAATTCTGATCTTTTAAAGTTTGAAGACAATATAAAGTTATGAAATTTCAAGTTCCAATTCTTAGGGGAAGTTTTCAACCCATACAGTGACTTTTTAAGTTTACAAATTTTTGTTCCATTTTCCTTAAACCCTTCAGGTACTACAAAAATCTAACTGAAAAATTTGCATTTTATACTGATTACATATACCGACAAAAATTCTTATGGAGGTAAACTTAGCCACAGGGCTATATATATCATCAAAAGACATACTTCAGTTTGTTGAAATCCCTTAGCCACAAGTCTGGCCTTGTACCTTGTGATCTTCCCAGTTTCATCTTCTTTCCTCTTAAACATCCACTTACACTGTAAAGTTTTCTCACTGTCACTATCTTTCACCACTGTCCATGTGTCATTCCTCTCAAGGGACTTGATTTCCTCTTCTATAGCCTTTGCCCATTCCATAGCTTCACTTCCATTTATATCATCTTCATAAGTCAATGGCTCACCTTCAACGACACTCGCTGCTGCACTTAGTATGTAGTCATTTGATAATGCACGAGGTGTATGAACAACTGGTTTTAAGTTGTATCTTCCTTGCCTATCTCTTGTTCTCTCATGCTCAACTACCTCATTGTCTTCGTCTTCTTCAAATAGGTCATAATTTTCATCTCCAACTCCATCATCATCTTGAGTTTGATTACCATCATTTTGTGGAGCCTCCTCTTCAATTTAATATAGTTCTGGCTGCTTCCACCAAGGTTCGCATCTCCCTTTCAGCTCGGCCATTTTGTTCTGGTGTGTATACCACTGAACGCTGATATCTGATGCCTTTTCTCTTCAAAAGTTCTGTTAGAGACTTGTTGACGAACTCTAAGCCATTATACGACCTTAAAACTTTCATCTTGGACTTACATTTAGATTTTCTGCTACACCAATCTTCACAGGTATCTGCTTCTGAGGTTCAAACAAGGGCTACTGGATCATCGTTTCGACTCCCTCTATTTTGATTTTTATTCTTCCGAATCCAACAGTTTTCAATTTTGTGGCCTGGTTTTTGACAAAAATAACACTTGGTTGAGTCATTTTTATTTTTCTTTTTGCAATCTTTTGCCAAATGACCAGTTTTCTGACATAAAAATCACTTTCTGTTCTCGTTGTTCCTTGAATTTCCTCTCAAGTTCCCTCTGCTACAACCAGCAGCTATAGCTGCGTGTTCTTCATTGAATTTATATCTTTCTTCCTCTACTAGCAATCTTGATGTCAACTCAGATAAATTCTGATTTTTCTCAGGAACGGACTCCGGAAATGCTTAAACATTTCTGGAATGGACATAGCACTTCCGTTATAAGCATTTTCTCAGACAGTTCCTTCCCAGCTAAGTTCAGATTGGTCTTTATTTCTTCTAGATGCGAAATAAAATCGGCCACTGTCATATTGTCACTATAGGACATTAAAAAATCTCTGCTGCAGTAAATGCACACTTACTTGGGATTCCCTCTCAAAAATTGACATTAGCTTAGTCCACATTTTACATGATGTTTCACAGGACAATAGATGCGTCTTATTCAACTCTTAAAACAATCAATTCTTGAGCTTTAGCATCTTTTTTAAGCCAACTTTCAAGCTCCGCTCTTGCAGCTGGAGGTTTCTATTTTTCACCACTAACAACCTCATAAAGCCCTCTCCTTTTCAACATGATTTTTCTCCGAAACTCCCACAGCGCCCAGTTTTCATTGCCAATCAACTTCACCAATGTGCCTTGGTCCAGCTCCATCATAATTTCCAAGAACCGCGCAACTAGGACGTACTTTTGCACAAATTGCACAGCACAAGTTTCCTTTCTATTTTTCTGGCCCCCACACTTTTGAACTACCAGCCTTTATTTCTAGCTATGTCTGGGCCCATAACCACTTGAAAGACAATAAATAAAGACTACATAGATACATACATAGACTACTAGATTGTTTATTTCAAGAGAAAAGAAACATTATTGCTACAAAAACAACTTATGATGATGACGATTATATTTCAACAGTCAAAGAATACCTTAACCTCATAAAAGAAAATAGGTCAAATAAAAATCACTGACAATACAGTGACTCTATTACCACAGTGGCAACCATTGCTGTATTATTTTTATTTAGTTCCTAAAAATCCTATATATTCATATGGAAAACGTCGCCATTTTGTGCCCACCCTTTGGTAAATTTGAACATAAATATATCGGATTTAAATGGACATTTATCGCAAAAAACTGAAAACAACGTGATTGACGATGACTAATATTATAGGTACATCAAATGCATTTTTCCCAATTTTTTATGATGGATGTCCATTTAAATCCTATTAATTATATTCAAATTTACCAAAGGGTGGACACATAATGGCGGCGGGACCTCTATTGTCGCCACTGTTTGTAAAGGTTTATTTAGCCACTGTAAATGACAAGAGCAGGCGACGCCATCTGTTAGCCATTCTGCGTACAAACTTAAACACATTCTGTAATATCTACTAAACAATTTCTACTGGATTTACCATTGTTATTCAACACACCCGATTAGGAAAGCTGAAAAACTGCTGAGATATAGAGAGCGCAAACACGCCTACAAGAACGCAATACAGGAAGCCAAAGTTGAAACCATACAACATGGAATAGAGGAAACGGCAAACTATGAGCCGTGACATGAACTTTAAAAATTTCCTGGGGAAAACAAGGATGCAAAACCGCTAGAGAACATAGACGAAAGGTCGACGGAACATATACGAACAACGAGGAGGACATGAACACATACCTAATAACAGAATACTTCCCGGCAGACGAGCCTGGTCACGACAATGAGAGCATGCGTGTAACGAAGGCAAGGCACAAACAGTACAGCGACATAGATGATGAAGATATGGGATGAGGGATGAGGAAGATAAGGGCAGAGAGTTGTACAAACACTGCCAAGAAGTAGGGATGAACGTGCTTCAGCTTAGTTTCAGAGCTACGCAACTGTTAACACTTCAACAGTAGGTATGTACATACATCCCCATTCAACCTGAAAGAATCAGAGGCACAGTGCAGGTGAAATCAGAATGCGACAGAAGACGCGCAACACGTCAGGAAAGTAATGGGGAAGTATGAGGCTCCTTTTCCCGCAAATTTGACCAAAATAAATAAGATCGGACGCTCGGTTCACTTGCTATGCCTATAATTTGAATTCTCCAATATGGGGCCAGTTTTCCCCAGATAGCGGATTATCCCCAAGATAATGTTTTTGGGAATTTTGGGAATTTTGGGATTTCAATTAGGACATTATCCATATAACGTTTTTACCAATTTTTAGCTTGTTATTTCAAATGTCCGGGTTCCGCCAAATTTATGTCTTATTTCTTTACACTAATAATAATTTCCTCATAAATTATTACATTGTTATAAAACAAAATGACAATCGTACTTTCTAAAGTTATTCGAAAACGAGGGGACAAGATTTATGAATGCAGCGAATAAAAAATGATCTCATAAACCAACAATAACTTGAAAAACTCACCTAAGACGATGGCCAACGTTTTCGTCGCTTTCCTCTCCTTTTTCGCCGACGATTTCTCTCGTTTTTTCCTACTGGCCTTGTTTACTTTGTAAATTGTGAATCTCGCCGCGGCCGTCGCTTTTTTCTCCTTTTTCGACCCTATCGATCTCATGCTGGCCGTTCTTGAGTTCAACGTGGCCACGGTCCTGAAATGATATAATGGTACTTAGTAAGATGAAATTTCAATTGCCAGAATTGGAGTTGAATTACACAATTTGAACACTACTTAACATGGAATAGGTGTTTATTGTATGTATTTGAAGAATGGGATATTTATTTGCTTAAACAAGCAACTGAAATATTCTCTCATATATCTCTAGCTAAACACACAAAACTTCCATCGTAAAAATTTTAAAACAAATTTCAATGAATCAGAGTGAGGATTTAATCCTCCTGTTTGTGCAAAACTTTGTCCGGGGCTATTTCATTATTTGACGCCCAGTTTTATCGTTAAGCTTTCAGCTTTATCTTTTGTCATATTATTACAAAAGTTATATTATGCGTCAACTAAGTTTCAACGACAATGTTTTGCTATTTAGAAATTTCAATTCCAGTTGTCCCGACATTAGACAAGGATTTGATTAAGTTAGTGACAAAAATTACCTTAACTCTGTGTCCGTTGTAGCTCCATTTTTCTTTGATGTAATATTTCTACCAAAGATTCTAGGACTATCGGGTGCTATACTTTCAGCATGACTGTGTGCGTAACCAGAATCGTTGTTTCCATTTGGATCTCCCAAATTATTCGGAGTTGCCAGGCTTGCTACAACACTAGATATTCTGTAATTATAAAAAAAGTTATGTTTCAATTATTATTAATAAATATAAGCCAATCCTTGTCTAATGTTTCTAAATTAATTCAGATTTGTGGAATATATACATTTCATCATCAATTTAGTTTGAAATCGTGCAACTGGTTGTTTCACTTGAAATTGTTTTGTGTTAACAAGTTTGACAACGATACTTTGAATGGTCGATACACGGACGACGAATTGTGTAATCAACTATTTCCAATTATAGTTACTATAATTATTTCTTGTCAGTTTCAAATACGATTAATCCAAACTTTTGCAATTTTTATTCCAACTTTCACGATTTGTATTTCGCCCTTCTGAATTTTTATAATTATTCACAAAATATTATTGAAACTGGAATTTAAATATGAATTTCTGCTTTTATTATATTGACTTTATGTTTTTAATATTGCAGGTCAAACTGGTTTAATTGAAATTGAAGTGGGCCAGTAAAACGTGAATAATAAAAATAATACATTTTGTACAGGAAATATGTACGCTTAATTAAATTTCATCAAGCACCAGTTTCATATTTTTACACACATGTAAAAGCAGCAATAATAATGAAAGTTTGAATAAACAGAACGGCAATTTTACAAGGTCCTCTAATGATAATTACAACCGAACTGCCACATTTGCAAATATGGCAATAACGATGCAATTCTATAGCGATTTGTATCCGATATGTGAGCCAATAATAAGCGAAAAGCTTTAATGCAAGTTGCAGTTACTAAACTACAAGTTTTCGCTCCGGTTTTAATTAGTTTCGTTGTTGTTGAGGCGCAAAATCGATACATTGCGCCATCCAAAGATTTAGCCTCACTAATTATTATTTGTAAACCTAATTCGTACCAGGGAGGTTAAACCTAGTAAAATTCTAGAGGATTTCCGTTAATCCCGCCGCCTCCCCAAAACTATTATTATATAAGTGAATTTCCCTTGAACGCGCTTTTGTTTATTATAGCTATCCCGATTCATATTCCACAGGATATACGACCTTGTATGGTTTTGTGAGCCCAACAGAAGGTTTTTGAGCGTGAAAAATGGAACATTTCCAAGGTTTTATTTATAGACGGAAATTAGTTTTAGTATTTTTTAGAAGTTGAATAATAACTATAGGGAATGTGTTATATACAAAAAGACGTAATAATCCGAAAAAACATTTTATATTTGTCATTTTTTCATGTTTAGAATGTCATTTTATCATTTTAAGTAATCATAACGCAACCTCGTTTTTTTCTTGCATTATTATTTTGTTCAATATGTTTATATCTTTTTTTTTCAAAACTCTTTCCTCTTTGGCTTGCATTAGTTCTTCATGAAGATCAATAACTTTTCTTCATTTACCTATTTTTCCTAACTGTATTTTTGCAATTTATTTAAATCGATTCCGATATCATGTTTTTTGTTTTCTCAATATACCATTTCTGACAAAGTTATGTCAGTATTAAAGTATGTAGAATAATAAAGAGAAACTACTGTTTTATGCATGGGAAAATTATAGATAGTTGAAGCCTTTAGCTATATACGAAGGACTTGGAAACACATTAGGGTAACGTTCATACCAAAGTCTGGAAAAACAGGACAGGACACGGCAAAGTCCCTAAGATCCATTAGTCTTACGTCAATTGAGCTTAAAACTTCTGAACATTAGGGACGCTGTGTTGGCAAGCCGACCACTACACCCAGACCAGTATGCATATCAGAGAGGAACGTCAACAGAAACAGCGCTTCACTAGCTGATCAGCATAGTAGAGATCACATTGGAAAACAGGGAGGTGATACTCGGCTCCTTTTTGGACATAGAGGGAGCTTTTAACAACACTTCCTTCGACTCAATCATCAGATCTCTCAAGCATAAAGGAGTTGAAGACACCTGCTGTGTGTGAATCAACTCCATGCTTAGAGAAAGAATCGTAGAAACCACCGTCGCAGAGGAGACACTGGCGTACCGAGTATACAGGGGATATCCCGCTCCTAGAAACATACAGATTTCGAGCCAGGGGGTAACTCTGGACTCACAACTTACCTGGGATCAGCATCTGGACGCCTGCATGGATAATTAATATGGACATGCTGTACTGAACATACAGCATAATGGTGAAACCCATCTTGACAGACGCCTCCCTGGTATGGTAGAACAAAAAAACGGGACACATAGCATACAAACGTAGAACTTGTGGGGGGAGATATTCTCAATATGAAGACGGACTACATGCCAAGGCGACACTGCCCTAACAGGCCGTTCGACGTCAGCTTCCCAACCACAACTGAATGGGAACAGGGCAGGGCATACCGGAGACCAAAAAGCAGGACCGGACCTGGGACAAATCCTCATAATGTCCGACAGTTGTAACCTTAGAACAGGTAAAGGTAGAGGAGTACCAACATGGAGTTGAAAAATGAAGCCGTTTTTTCCAGGTACTCTGGCTCCAAAAAAATGGCGGTATAGGCAATGCAATGCTTTACCTGTCATTTCGTTCCAAACACCTGCCAAAAACTAGCTTCACGTTTCATAGCAGAATGGCGCGTTCCTACTCCCTATGTCCGTAGGACAGCGCTTTACCTGCTCTAAGGTTGTAACGAAGTTACTAAAGTCTGTTTTTTTTTTTTAAGATAATTCCCCAAGTCAAAAATTTAGTAACTAAGTTGGCAACACAAGCCTTTTCTACATAAAAAATTTGAAAGCAATGACAGTTTTACATTGTATTGCCAACATAATGTCATTTTGACTTTTATCTTAAAAAAAAAAAACAGATTTTATGTTTTTTCCTCTACCCGCCACTGACATACCGCATCCGAATCGATTTTCGGATACTATTAGAAATAGTATTGCCGCTACTGAATAACCATTCTGCTTCTACGCCACCCGACGTCGTTCCGTGACGATACCACCAAAGTGGGGAGGAGTACTCAACGAGGAGAAGAGGAAAAATTGGTGGGACTAGATCGCCGACTTCCGAAAGATCCGGAAAAAATCCGCGTCGTCTCTGAAAACTGTGATTTTTTTCAAACTGGTCCGGCAGTGTTGGCTGCCGGTGGGATTCGCAGACGAACTCTTTGTCCCCCCCCTGGTGTAGCATTGAAGCCGGTACGTCCGGTTTGGATTGAATCCGTTCAGGTGGTACCCACGAATCGTCGTACCCTACGGACCGTTGTAGGGTGTGGGAGCTCCCGAATGGAGCTAACCTTGTCGGGGTCGGTATGAATTCCATCTGGGGTCACCATGTGTTGTAGGTACTTTAACGACCTCCTACCAAAATGGCATTTTTCTGGGTTAATCTTTAAGTTGGGTTGTCGCAATCGGTGAAATACTTGGCTCAGGTTATGCAGGTGTGATTCAAACGTGTCCCCGAGTATAATAATGTCATCCAGATAGCAGAAGCAGTGGGCGGAGTGTAAGCCGAACGGCATTATCTTGAACTGAAATATTCCCCGAGGCGGAGCGGTTAAATCCTTTATCGGTCGGCTATCTTTAGCGAGCGGCACCTACCAGTATCCTTGTGGAGTCGTCTCAGTGATTTGTTCGAACAGTGGAAGCTCAACGTCTAAGAATTCCTTCAACTGCATTTCCTCGCTGGCAGTCAGTGTTAAGGGCGGCGGAGAGTCTTTCGGAGTCTCGAGTTCTAAGAGTTTGACTTGATCTGGATTGGCTGGTGTAGACACTGGTTCCTGATTTAACCAGACTGATCACGTAAGTTGATGACGAAATCATGTTTGAATGAAATGTCCATTCCAACTACCAAATCGGGTAAATAGCTGATCTATGCTTCGAGGATGGTGCAGCCCACTTCCAAAGTCAAACCATAGCTGGTTTCGGTACTGGTGGATTGGCCGTTTGCTAATAGGGTCCTCCTTGGCATGTTCTCTGTTTTTTGGGAAGCGGTCCTTTTGCAGTATTGTGCCAGTTTGTCGCCGATAAACGAGCTGGTATCTCCTGTATCCAGCAAGGGCAGGAATATTTGCTGCTCAACGGTAACCGGAACATACGGTCGGTTTTCCACACGCTTTCGGAGACTCTGGATTGGTGAGACGAGGGCGGAACTCCGTACTGGTCTCATAGCAGTACGGCGCCGATCTAGTTTCCCGCGGTACAGCGTCAGTCTCGGGATAGTACCTCTTCAGTTTCACGACGAGAGCTAAACAGTTTCTGTGGGTTTGTGCAGGTATCCCAAAGATGCCCGGTTTGACCGCATTGCTAACACTTTACTCCTATTGTATCCAGGGTGGTTTGTCGGGGTGCGGTGTTCACATTCGGTACTCGGACTAAGGGGGTAAGGCCGGCTGACTGGGTTGGACGGTTAACTTGAGGGGGTCGGTCCATGGAAACAGGATAACGGAGGACCGAATTCCGCCGGGGTTCCTCAGGAACGTTCAGCTCCTGGTGTAGTAGCTCATAGTCTCGCACCATCTTTGAGAAGGATTGAATAATGAAAAACAAAGTTTGTTGTGAACCACTTTTCTGGTATTTACCGATAAAAAAAAACTAAGGTTTTCGGTACCCACATTCCTAGAACTAGAAAACTCTAGAGATTCTCGAAACGATTCGTTTCCAAAGACTAGAACCGATACCGTTTCAGGTTCGAGAGCGACGGCTAAGTAGAAAAATAATTAAACAGCTGGAATTAAATTAAATTAAACAGTACATACTGGTAAGAATTTCTCTTTTCAACAAGGGGAAAAAAAAATCACTTTTGGGTTTTCACAGACGGCGCGGATTCTTTCGGTTCTTTCGGAGGTCGGTGATCTAGTCCGGTGATTTTCCACTCCTCCTCGTTAGTACTCCTCCCCACTTTGGTGGTGTCGTCACGAAACGACATCGGGTGGCGTAGAAGAAGGGCGGTTATTCAGTAGCGGCGATAATATCTCTGATAGTATCCGAAAATCGATTCGGATGCGGTATGTCAGTGGCGGGTAGCGGAAAAAAAAATGTAACTTCGTTACACAGTCAAGCGCACTTTGGTGCCAGACAGTGTCATCAAGACTAGTATGGGAATGCCAGGAACTCCAGGAAGAACTCAAGGCCCTGGCAGACCAAAATAAGGTAAAACTTATCTGGGTGCTGGACGCAAAGGAATCAAAGGCAACGAAAAAGCTGACGAACTAGCAAAGAGGGGATCAGAGACAAAACGTATCGGGCAGAGCCGGCACCAGAACTACTACAAATGAATACTAGCCGACTAAGAACTATAACGGGCCATATCACAGGTCACAAACCGGTAAAGTCCACCTGAACAGGAAGAACCTGTATGCCCTGCAGACTTTCAGTGCTACATGTGGACAATTATTATAAGTGATTCTATAACAAAGCTAATGCATACAGGACTAAATCACTAGAGGGCTCTACCAACTTACATTTTGTTGTACTGTAAAGAATTTTTTTCTTGAACGACCCTAAAAAAAAAGAAAAAAAGAATTTTGTTGATAAATTGTTGCTACTAAAACGTTTTTAGTTATTGTCTGCGGTTTTACAACAGTTTTACAACCACTCTCTGGCATTATATTGCCAAACATAAACCGTAGCGTCCATTTTTAACACCCGCAGTATGTAATTTACACATTTTACCCACTCTTTTATCGTGTTCACATTGTCAATCTGGAATGCTTATCGTGTCAAAAACGCTTGCATTTTACCAGATTGATTTTTGCCTATTGAAAATGATTTGCCGCCCAGGGCATAAAACATACCAATTTTGTTTTGTTTCTTTATTTCGGGCGGATATTTTGGAAAATAACTACTGTTTCGATATCAATGATGATAATTAACTTATGTTAATTTTTTTTGAGCTTCATTCATGTTTTAATTGCCTCATTTTCCGAGTACATTATACACAATATAGGGTCGTTGTCTCTTTTTCATCCTCTTCATTTATCGCAGCCACAAAACTGACCCACATAAACACTTCTCGCAATCTTAACTAGGAATCTTGTATATTATATATGGGGCAAGGCTCATTGTATTTCATGAGGTTTGTGTCTTTTGTTGCGTGAAAATATATTACCCAGAGACTTCATTGTTTTTTCTGCTAGTAATACAGATTTGTGTAAATTTTAATGGAAAATATAAACATTTACAATGCATAAATATGGAAGCTAAGAGCCCTATTTGCCAGGCAGCCTCTGCACTTCCGGCCTGTGCCACTAGTAAACACAGCTTATTCAATTAAATTCCGGGCGGAAACAACGGGAAATAGCGCGATAGCTGAGTAGTATTGCTTACATTTTATTGCCGAGCGCGAAACTGTTCTAAGGCTACGATACTATTGTAGTTTGTAAATAAGTGAAAATAAACTTACGCTGCTTCTTCGACGACAGTCGCCAAAATAAACTCGGTACTTCTATCGTTGGATATCACTTGACAATCGGCTTCGACAATTTCGTCGTCTTCGTCTCCGGAACCCGAACCCGTATTGGTGGCCAGTTCTTCGACGGGAGTCGGTCCTAAATGGGTTTCGGCTAATCTTCGTGTATTGGCCAAATTTTCTATCACAGAACCAGCTTTAATTTCGCTCAAGTGCGGCCTACGCGCCGCCCTTTGTTGCATTGCTCGCGTCTTAAGTGCCTGAAAATGAACACCTGAGTAGATACTCGAACTTATCCAGACTCTCGAATAGTCTAGAACAATATTAATCGATATGGTGTGAAGTAGTAAATCACTATGTATTTCGCTATATTATGGCCCAATACAGACGAAGTAACGCGATATCCGAGCAACATGTCGTTCGAGTGTTTTCGACGTGTGTCGGTATCCAGACGAGGCGGTACGATATAAGATATTATCGGAACACAAAATCAAATTGCCAGCAGCGAGGAAAACTCTAGTGAGGAAAAACACGTGCAACAATATCGCGCGACAACAGTTGGCTGGCGACTGAATAAAAATGTCGACAAGCAACTTGTAGTCGCGCTATTGTATCCCTTCCATATCGTGTGAATACCTGCAATTGAATATATGTATATGTATAGCGTCTACATGCGAGCTTGCTCGGATATCGTGTTGATGTCGTGTTGCTTGGTCTGAATTGAGCCTAAGGGCCTTGTCCCACCAAAGCAGCGCAGCAGTTACACGATTTCGACATGACACAAGCAGGTGACATGGAGTTGTTCCACCAAAGCAACATGTATTCTACATTCAGCATTCAGTTAGTGATACCATCGAACACACAGCTGGAATGTTGGTTCACAACTGACATGGCTCGTCGCTCGGCAACAAGAATCCGACACGCTGCTTGGTATGTAGACCATGGGTTAGACAAGGAAGATACACGCTGGCAATATCGTGTCACTGTCGCGTCGCTGTAGGGTTGCCTTGGTGGGACAAGGTCCTCAAATATAAAGCGGTGACATGCAAGCAACATGTTGCTCGAAAAATGATGCTCGAATATTGTGTTGATATCATGTTGCTTCGTCTGTATTAGGCCTAAATTGCGTTGACAGGCTTTTACTTCAGTAGATAAGGTAATGTTTTGACCGGACACGGTTCTACAGCTTTTCCATATGTATTTCAGAGACCGTCAGTTTAATTTCAGTAAGCGTCAACTGCAATTTAGATTAGTAAATTGTATTTCGGAAAACGTCAATTGTATTTCAGATTAGTTAATTTTATTTCGGAAAGCGTTAATTGTATTTTAGATTAGTTGATTGTATTTCAGAAAATGTGAATTATATTTTAGAATTTGTCAAATGTAGTTCAGAAATCATCAGTTGTATTTCAGAAAATAATAGATGTTTATTTTATTAGGAGTATGTGATGTGACTTGCATAGAAATTTGAACGCCGAGCACAGGTACCTACGCAGATTTTCCCAAATCAACACAAGCTAGGAGTAAAGGTAACCCATTATAATTTTTATTTGATACATTGTTACGATAAATTTATCATTTACGTAACACGTCCCATTCCTTCGAATTTTCATTATAAATTTGTATTTTTGCCATTTCAGAATCAGCCAAATAATAGTTCATAACTTATTAATTTAAGTATCTGCAAAATTCAATTAACGCAATATAATATCAGTACTGCCATCATAAAAATGCAAATATCTGTTATTAAAAGAAGGTACCGGCATCTAATACCTGATAAACTTATTTTTTAAAATATGATTTTTATTATTTCTCATTGACAGTCGTTCGTATTTTCATTTAAAGAAATTATATTTATCTCACTTTTAGCAAATAGATATATTTTTGTCTTTCTCTAACTTCTGATTTTGAAATAATTATTTTTAACTTATTAATTAGTGGTTTTGTGTTTGCAACACAACATTAATTTAAATTATTGCAATTGCAATTAAAATAATTCCAGTCTGTTTTTATCTATTCCCTTTTAATCAGCATAGTCTTTCATTGATAAAGTGAACACGGTCTTTTGTGTGTGGTGTGTACTGTCTTCTGAATGGTTCGATCTGGTTAATACGTAGTTAAGTAAGAAAAATACGAAATTCGTTTTCCTGCAGGATTTTGCTTCTAAAAGGTCTCTTTTCTGGCAGTGGCCGAGCAGGCAAGTCGATTTTTCATTATTGTTATTTATTCCTTCAGATTTCTAGATTTTCCCTTAATAATTTTTCAATTTATTTTACCATCAGTGTAAAATATCATATCACTGTTGAGTTTTTACCTGATCAATCTTATCTTTTCTACCTATATAAACATTATATTTAAATTTTTTATCTAATTGTTCATCAACGTTTTTCTGAAGTGAGTCAATTCAGAGTTTTGGCAAATAAATAAGTACTGCTGCTTTGGTTTTCGGAATCAATTGTTAGTGTGGGATTATTGGACCATAGAGTCGGTGCAAACCAAATTTGTGTGTCCATCCCTATCAACTCTTTACTGAATCCAGACAGAGGCTGGTATAGCCATTGTCGGTTTGACTCCTTCAATTATCATCTCTAGTAAGAAGAGTGCTGGAAGGCTAAAATTTTAAAATTGAAATCCGGATAGGTCAAAAATTCATTCAAAAAAGGTTTTAATTAAAACATCTCCAGAATTTTGATAATACTTGGATTTAATTTATTTCATCCTCAGCTTTATCTTGTAGTAGGAAACTTAACTTAAAAAGGGAAATTTATCTATTTGGGGAAAATCTAGATTTTTTTAAATTTTTATCTTGTTCAATTTTTTCTACATTAATTTTATTTGAATTTGCCTGTTTAGTGCGACTGCATCAGCATTCTGCGCTCAATTATAACGAGCATCTATTTTAATTTAATCTTGCTGTATTTACCTATTGTATCATTATTTTCAATTATTTTTTTTTTTTAATAAAAATATACTTCTTCCAATTTGCAATAGCTGCTCATACTTACCCATTGAACTAAACAAACACTCTGGAACGGGCGCACTGCTTTATGCTAGTGTGCCGAATTTTGATATATGCAACCCAGCAATACAGTGGGAGTGTTGTCTCGCTCGCACTCATTACGATTAACGTGAAAGAAAGAAGAGCTTCTTCATCTTCCTAACCTCAATGATCTAAACACTTCAAACAGCTGTTCTCAATAGTCGCCATAGTGCAGAGAGAGATGCAAATCTCACTTGTTTGTTGTCCTTCCTGACACAAACCCTTGCGTTAGAAACATTATGCATCCACCGTTCCAGTGAGTTTGTTTAGTTCATTGTACTTACCTGATTCTGTTGGAAAGGAGTTTCTGCACAATAATGGTTTTATAATAAACTAATTTCAATTTAAATCTTCTTTGCAAGACACTCGCTTTATGGCAGAATTCAGGAATTTGATATTTCACATCTTGGTGAACCTGATACTGCCTTAATCTTTTCTGGATACCTTATTACGTGGCAAAACGGACACTGCCACTTGGTTACCCGCAAAACGCGAGGGAGAAGTAAATAATGAACTTTGAGGGAGTGACTAAAGTGAACGGGTAACTAAGACAAAATCAAAAATATAGAAAGAGAGGGTTGGTTGGTGGCTGAAATCTAGAAACGTGATTTCGTGTAAAGGGTTGCCGACTAGCTTCCAATGCGGAGAGGGGTGTGGGTCAATTAAATAACAAAATATAGAGCGTCACCTGCTTTTTCCCTGCAGTACACGAAGTCAACCGATATAACGAAAGCAGGAAACTTCTACGGAACTGTAGCAGCACAACCTGAAATATAAACGTAAACAAGAAGGAAGGACAAAAGTGAAACGCTTTGCTACAATCAGGTACGGGTTTTAATTAGAACCAGAACAAGACAGGTTTGATTCCAGAGCAGCTTCGGAGTGGGTTTTCCGACCGCCCTAGAACACTGAAAATTATTTACACTGGAACCAGAACAGAACAAGAAAAGAAATCGTCTAACCATATGTTCTTAAAATAGTATTTACATTAATGATTAATTACACTCAACTTGAGTCCCTAAATAAAGAAATAAAAAGTATAACAATTATAATACCTGAAATATAAATGATCAATAGACAAGCTTACTAAATGCATTACCTTCGGAAATGGCCATTTAACCCCAGTGTACAAGTATTTTCTGTATTCAGTGCAGCATGTATTTATGGGATAGTTATTAGAGAAATATAGATCAATAATTAAAGTTGAAGTAACAATAAATAGCCTGAGGGGCAAATTTAATATTATGGAATAATATAGAAGGTATAGATAAATACTTAAAATTGAAGTACCTAACAGTACATAACCTGAATGGTAAATTTCATACAATAAAGGTAATAATTAATTGAAACTGAAATAACAACATCTAATCTGAAGGATAATTTAATATTGTTATAGAACTGCGTTGTTGTGGTGATTTACTCCAACAAGGGGTTGGTAAGGTTTGATATTTAGACAATACAACACACTTATCAAACCTGAGTAGTCCCTAAACCTCTTGAGGGGAAAACTGAAGGATTGAATCAATATCTCCCAATTTTTCCGATGGCCTGGAACTGGATCAGGATCGCGACAAGAAACAACTGGCCCTGGGCACTGAAGTTCAGTAACTAGGAGTCACTAAGGCTTCCAATTGTCTAGAGGAGGCTGAAGATTGGAGGTACTACTTGAAATATACAGTAAGCTCAACGTCTAACTCTTTATTCAAGTTAAGGACTAAGCGTGACGAACAAAAGGTGACGAATAATGAGACAGGGCGTGGAGCAATATAGGTAGGTATGTCCGATATTCGGAATTTAACCGTATAATTAACAGAAAATTCTGCTTTTACACAGGCAATAGAGAAACACAGAGAAGATTAATAAGAAAAACCACTTACCAAAATTACTTTGGCCTTTAGGAACAAACAATTGGTCACGTTGCTCTTTTTCGACTCACAAAAAAAAATCCGCACAAGGCGTTGGGTGCTAAAATAACGGATTAGCCACCCTAGATCTATGAGCGAAAACTAGACAACTCAGAAAATCGGCAAAATGTGCCTGAGGAATTTTCCCGAACACTTAATCGTGGAAAGTCCTCGACCTGAATGACCTCTGCTTGTCCCTGCAATGTCCTTTAAAAAGTCTCTGTCAAAACTCCAAGGTGGAAGGTACTGGGGATTTTGATGGTAGTTGGGGTATGGTACTTATTCAAATTAAGTTAGTACCGGTCACTGACCCTATTTGGAGCGCTGTCAATCTAGTCAATCTACTCGGATCAGACAATCAGCTGTTCCAATGTAAATATTGTAATTTTATTTATTAATAAATTAACTGACTATTTATTTTAACCCTACCAAAAGGAAATCAATTCCATTATTAAACCTCTAATTTAATAATTCTGGGAAGAATGAAAAGTTTAATGAAAAGTGTGACCACAATTATCGGATAGAAAACATTGGCTTGAGGAAGGTATGCTATTCAGAGAGGCGAATAAGCTTATTTCCTTTTATTTTGGTGCGGGAAAAATCATCCCGTAACAACCTACTCGACATAAAAGATCACTATTTGGAGTCTGGATCGGCTGGAGTGACGTGACACCAGCAATATATCCTCTTTCCTGGATACAGGAAACAACACGAAGAGCTCCAGTTCACGGAAGTGAAACCGCAACATCCATTGAAGAGCTTCGGATTGGAAAAGGTACATACAGTATCAGTGTGTCACCAGAACAACCAAACTGTTAACTGTCAAATTTTAATGGAAAGTAACATTGTTACTTACATTGTGAAAATTTTTTTAATGAAATTATTGTTTGTTGAATTTTGAGTGGCTTCATTTGCATATGAAGGGGCTACACGTTATCTTTATTTATTTTTTTAAATTCCACGACCCTATAGGTTCTCTCTATCTTAAAGTACAAAAAAACTTAAATTTATTTGTAACAACATTACATTGATAACATCTGAAATACATTTGACGAATTCTGAAATACAACTTACAATTTCTTCTCTACAAATAAATAATCCGAAACACAATATGTGCTCTTCCACCGAAATACACATACTATTTTTTCTGCGATCGGTTAAATTACTGTTAAATGTTTGTCTCTTTGTTCCAATTCTTCAGCTGTACGAGAATCATTTTCCCGGCCTAGGCCGGAAAAGTGATTCCGGTATTGTTATTTATTGATTTCTTAGCAACTATTGAGACATAATTAAAATACCAGAATATTGAGTTTTGCGACCTGTCAACCGGTCAAAAATGCTGACATTTCTTGTCAATCGCAGAAAAATGACGTTTTCTGAAATGCAAGTGACCGAACTGAGATACAAATGACTTTTTCTGAAATACAACTGACCAAACTGGAACACAAATGACGTTTTCTGAACTACAAGTGACAAAGTTAAAAAATACAAATAGCACTCTCCGAAATTAAACTTGTACAACTGAACTAGAATTCATGAATCTGAAATACAAGTGATACATTCTGAAATACTAATCGAAAAGGTGTAGAGCAAGTTGTACCTCTGAAACCAGAAGTTAGTTTGCAATCCGATGGATTGATCCGAACCAGGAATAGCAGGAATGAGTTTCCCAATTACTAAGATCTTGTAAATCTCAAGTTACAAGCCACAATAACAAAGTTGAGGCAATTTTAAAATATAAAACCAACATAGAAAAACCCAGGGTTCAAATTTGTCTGGCAAAGAATGGACAGATGACTAAACAAATTAATACAAAACCTATTTTAAACATAAAAACCTAATTAAAAATATAATAAAACCTACTGAAAATCTTGATTATTAAAAATACATTCAAGCCCACCCCTACGACTAAAGGACTCAATCAAAACCATTCAGAAGCCAAGTACAGCATTGTTTGATCTCGAGGCTTTCCAAATCTAATTGGTCATTCTCGACGAATCGCCTTTGAAAAGTTAAAAAGTCCGATAGTTTACACGAAAGTGAAAAGTTCGATAAATCAACTACAGAAGGTACAAGAAAGTGGAATTTAATTTTCCTGTTCTAATGGAACATAACTGGGATTATCGGAAATCCATTGCACGGCCGAGAGGGAGCGAAAAAAAAAAGTAGAAACTCCATCAATTTTAAAATTTTTATCACGCTAGAGAGCTAATTTGAACGGGAAAGGGACCTTTAAAACCGAGTTTGTTTTTGGATTTTTTCTTTTGAAAATTCAAATAAACGTAGTATACATCTACATATAATTTGCTAATAAAGTTTATATGTCTTTCCACGCCATTCTGATGTTGTTACTCGAGCTAGAGTTCTCAAAATTGGAATAGTTGTTCTTTGGGATACTGGCTAGAACCTAACAGAGCCAGATGTTTGAGACTGGTACTGTAGTAAAACACATTATGCTTTCAAATCTATGGACGTTGGTCTTTAAAGTAAAGAGCCTCATGTGTAAAAATTCGTTTACATTGGAAGAAAATGCGAAGCAAAAGCAATAAGGCACTAGCTGACGTCATACAATACGTTTTATGATTATTTACCCACATCAGTAGCTAGCTATTTCGTCACAAATCAGGGGGACAAACATGTCAGGTAACAGGTTCATTTGAGATTGACAACAAAATTTTATTTTTCACTGACACTGATACTGAATTGATGTGTGTAATTAGCTCTCAAACGCTTTGTTTGTCCCCGAGGCTATGTGTGTGACGTCAGCTAGTGCCTATAGCAAAAAATGTGGTTGACTTACCTTAAAAATATTATAATACAGGAAGACCATGATTATACAAGGAATATAAAACGAGGATAAACTAGAAAAAAGAATAAAATCACTGTTGAAAAATAGGCAGGCGTCTCCTATCCTGTCCGGCGTGTTGTTGAGGCCTAAGACTATGGGCGAACCGATTGCCGCCGATATCACCCATACTAAGGCTATGGTCAGCCATATTCTCCTGTTGTTTTTGTGTTTGGCGTATTTGATTGGTTGCGTAACGGCTATGTATCTGAAAAATCGAAAAATAAAAAATTAAATCGAGTTTTGTCAATGTTATTATTTCGCATTTATTCCTGTACATGACATTGCAAAATGTATTGTTTGTTCACCGAGCTTCAAAGTTTCAGTCTTTGTATATTTACGATTTGTGTCATTTTTCGTCTTCGGCCTAAATATTCAATTTATTCTCCGACGTAGCTGTTTGTTCAAAAAAAAAAAAGATTGAATATTTTACCGTTTTACTCATTTTCTATTTTGTACGAAATATCTGGGTGTCATATACATTGAAATTATGTATCGGGGAAGGCATTTTGAAGCCCATGCTTTCGATGAATTTTTGAATTTATGAATTTTTCAATCTTTAGGAGCTGCTAAATTGAGGGGTTGTAGCCCTGATGCATGAGTTTTATAGTTTTTCCTTCTATTGTATATCTCAGAATATTGATAGTTATAGATGACATTGAAAATTTACATTTTTACATTTTTCATCGTTCAGTATTAGATTATACTTTCTTGTAATATTCAAGAATTTCTATAAGTTTTTGTCATGTTCTCCTTCTGTTTTTCCACAAATTGTAAAGTCGTCCAAAAATGCATATGTATCGGATACCTAGTTTTTCATTATGTATGATATTGTGAATTATACGTTGAAAGCAGGCTACTCCATTTGTAACGCCAAATGGAATTTTTGTGAATTGATACAAGTTGTTACATGCTTCAAAGCCAGTATAAATTCGCTCATTTTCCAAAATAGTTAGGTATTTGATGATACGCACTACCTACGTAAGTCTAAAGAACTAAAATATTCATATTGTGAAGCTTGACTGATGATTTTATCAATATCAGGTAGTGGATATGCATTTAATAAAGTGAACTTGTTGATTGTCAACGAATAATCAACAACCATACGTTTCTTATGATTTGAGTTGCTTGTCACTAAATCTTGTACTCTCCATGGTGGATTACTTGGTTCAATGATGTTTTCTTTCAATAATCTTTGCATTTCTGTTTTTATAAATTTGTAGTCATCATTAGAAAACAGTCTGGATTTAATAGCAATAGGCTGGCAATTTTCTGTTAAATTTGCAAACAGCAGATAAGGTCGAATATTTGCAGTTACTAGATTACAGTGAAATGATGCAAGTTTATCACTTCTTTGGGTTGCCCTACAGCTGCTCAGACAAAAGTTTAGGAGGCAATGGGCGTGGGTTATCTTTATTTGATGTTGTTTTCCATTGGGCGCCAGGCCTATAATGGGCCAATTAAATAAAACCAAAAATTTAAAACAATGTGAATAGCTATTTATTTAAATAGAATTAATTCATTTAATTAATTCAAACAACTAATTGAAAGCAATTTGCAGGTAATTGCAAAATACACAATAATCAGGATTAGCAACAATGCACGATGGAAGCCAAGGTCGACTTACAAGTTACTAACCTATTTTATTACATAAAACGTAAAATACAAAGTTTAAATTCTTACACTCAATTGAGTTGATATGTAAGAAAAAGGAGCAAATTAGATTCTACAGTGAATGAAATTGTTATGTAAGAAGAATGAGCAAATTAGATTTTACAGTGAATCCATGTCACCGAAATCTAACCAAAGGCTCTAATGCAAGTCAAATTCTTACATACAATGAGGTTGTCAGTAAGACTAAAAAAAAATATTCACTGACGTAATCTGAATATAACTTTGAGAAACGACAGTTGGCTGTAACGAAACCCTTTAGAATTAACCACAATGCACGATAGAGACCAAGGCCGCCTTACAAGTTGTTAATCCTTAATTGGTTGCTCCGGCGTAAAAATTATGCCAAACGAGTTCAAACACGTGACATATTGAAACTAGCGATTGGCCGAAGGCGATCGCCTATGTAACCTACCACCATGATGTCTTGTATGCACTGGAAAAGTGGCGATCCCGTTGGTTTCCATTTCGCTTTCCTATAGGGCGCTACTTTGAATAATGTACTAACTGGCGTACAAAATACGCCAAAGCGACCGTTTATGATTTTTATTTTTATAATGGTTTATAATACTGTTTTCGCCGAAACTGTAAAATTTATGTGGTTGGGATTGAAAATGTTAGTTTTATATGTTTTGCTATACCCGTTTAGCGATAGGATTTTAGAAAATGAAGTTTGTTCGGTTGTCATTATTTTTTTATTTTTCATAAATAAAAGGCTTTTTTATTTTTTTGTGACACATTATATTTAATATTTTATGCCACATTACTTTAAAGGTAGCAAAATTCGTCCCGATTATGAAAAGACATTTTTATTTAAGTAGCGTATAAAGTACGCCAAGCGACCAGTTATGTGAAATAAAATCTAGCGACCAGTTAAGGGTTAACCTACTGAGCGAGTTTCCGGTCGGTACGGCAAGTTAAATTTTGTGTTCAGTGAACCTGATACACAAACAAAATAAGCTTTCTAGAATCTCGTCTAGAAAGTTTTAAAAACAAATGATATTCCTACATACGATAAAGTTTCTGTGTAGGACTGAAAATATTTGTCGAAAAGAAATCACTTTGCGGAACCAACAAAACCACTTTTGTGCTCGAAGAGTGGTTCGAACACCAATTGACAAACGTAGTCCGAGCGCGCTCGATAACCCTACTCTGTGCAAAATTCAGAACTGATTTGTATAATTGGAACGAGCATATTAAAATACTTGTTACAACAGATAGAAAGTTTTGATTGAATTCCGCCAAAACTAAATTCTACTCCTGATTGATTTTAAAGAATATCATGTCCAATTATAACATCAGAACAGAGATTTTCTGATACATACATCCTGATATTTTCGTACACATGATCTGATATTTTTATAATCATAATACAGTCACAAACAGGAGAATTTGAAGATGAAGCAACCATTATGACATTTAGATTCGTAGAGAGATATGTCTTTGTGTGGTGATAGTTTTTGAAATATAACTGCCCGAGCTTCCAGTATCAATTAGTGCATAAGTTGGAATATAATTTACTTCAATTTTAATAATAGCTATCGATAAGCAAGATTTTGAGGCAATTGACATCATTACAATCATAGCAGGTTGAGTTTTATTTGAAGCATGAGATTGTTTTTGATATTTTGATCTACATACTTGTGTGAAATGATCAGTCTTTCCACAGGAATAACGGATTGCATCTCTTGCTGGACATTTATCTCTAGAGTGTCTGTTTCTTCCACAAAAATAACATTTTGAAGTAATTACGGCAAGTGTATCCTTTCTTTCATTTGATTGTTGAACATAAGTCGATGATTGATTCGATACAATAGAATTTACGTATGAATTTGAGGTATAATATTCTGACTATTATTGAGCCATTTTTAAATATCTAGCTGAATTATGTGCTTCTAGGTTCTGAGTCGTATTTTCTAAAAGCCTTTACCTAATGTGAGGTGTCGCAACACCACGAATAAATGAATCTCTTATGTAGTCATTTTTATTCTGTTCAGCAGTGACTGCTTTAAAATTACAGTCTTTACTTAATTGTATCAAAATTTGTGTGTACTGGTCTAGAGATTCACTTACTTGCTGTTTTCTAGTGGATAAAGTATGACAGGCAAAAATTTCACTTTGTGTTTTTACACATAACTTTTCGAGTATGGCAACTGCTTATATGTATGTAGGAAATACATTCACTAATAGACTGATAAACTGAAGAACTCACATAAATTACTACAAAGTTTAATTTGTCCTCCTCTTCTGAAATTCATAACTGGCTAGCGTTGCTTGAATGTGTGTCAATTTCTAATCGATCTGGCTTGAGTAACATTGATTAATTTAGCCTATTAAATTGTAGTGAAAGACCTTCGGAATTAGGGTTTTAATACATTATCAAATTTTTTTGAATGTATGCTCTATAGTGATATTTATTAACATGTTAAACATAGAATAACAATGAACCAACATGGATTTGTTCATGATAGGTCAACAATTTCAAATTCGAGTTTATTTACGAAGCATGTATCGCAAGCAATAGAGAACAAAGTGCAGTTGGATGTCATACATACGGACTTTGCTGAGGCTTTTGATAGGGTAAACCACTGCAGGATTCTGGGTAGGCTGATTTTGATGTTTCACGGAGTGCATTTAATCTAATGAAGTCATACTTAGAGGGTAGGCAACAGATGGTCAAACTGTGGCGGTCTAGATCTGGCCAATACTCTATTACAGCGGGTGTACCCCAAGGAGCTTTGCTTCATGCAGTTGACTTTAAATTATTGTAAACAAAAAAAAGATCTTGACTCTGTCCTGCAGTGGTTTGATGAGAACAAGATGTCTCTTAATGTTAAAAAGTGTATGGTCGTGTCTTTTACTCGTGAAGTAAATTATTTTATTAAGGATTATTATATAAGTGGTACTAAGATAGAATGAAAAAGTGGAGTGAAGGATCTTGGTGTTAACTTTGAGATGAATTTGAAATTTACCAAACATTACAACTACATAACCAGTAAGGCTTTTCGAGCACTGGGATTTGTGATACGTAGCAGTGGGGATTTTTAGATAAATACTGTTGTAAGATTGGAGAGTGGAGTATGCATCTGTTGTATGATCACCAACAGCAAACAAAAATATTGATCTTATAGAAAGAATACAAAAAAGATTTTTAAGGCATCTGTATGTACGGAAGAAGAATGCATACCCTTACATGGTGTCCTACAGGTCCATGCTTAGAGCTTTTGAGTTTTCAAGCTTATATGCAAGAAGTAAAATTCATGCTGTGACATATCTAATATATTTTGAATAATAACAAATACAAGAAATGTGACCTAATTCAGTTTGTGAATTCCAAGGTAGGTACCAAAGATTAGACTTACAATTCGAACCAGAGAAATTTTTAGTGTTACAGTTAACAGTACATCGCCCATTAATAATACCTAGCCTATTGTAATGAGATGTTAAGTGAAAATGAAATTTTCGATTTTTCTAACATGAGCCGTGAAGAAATACTGGATTTGTTACATCAGAATCAGGACATATAGCTTTCTTTTA